TTTTTAATCCATTTAATGTGTGTCCTGTTAATTTTATTTTGTTCTAGTTTTTCATCAAAATGTTGTTTGGTACCAAGTCAAATGACTTACAGAAGTCTAAATATCTTATGTCCACATTATTCTTTTTATCAACCAAAGTTGCAATATCTTCATAAAAAGATATCAAGTTAGTTTGACAAGATCTGTTTTCCATAAACCCATCTTCATTTGCACTAATTACATCACCCTCCTTTAATTCTTTATTGATCGAGTCCCTTCATTACCTTGCCCAGGGTAGACATCAGGCTGACAGGCCTATAAACAGGGTCATTCCCTTTACTCTTTTTAAAAACTGGCACGTTTGCTTTCTTCCAGTCTTCTGGAGCTTCCCCACTGCTCCAGGACAATGAAAACCAACATCAATGGTTTTCCCTGCACACTCCCTGCACACAAGGTGACCAGTGGGGCGACGAGTGCACGACTTGTCTTGGTAGCCATGTTATACAAACTCCCCCCACTTTGCCATGGCCAGTTCCCCTCTTCCCGGGCACTTATTGTATAAACTGTTCCCATCTGCCCTGCCAGCTCCCTTTGGTCCCTGGTCAGACCATTCCCAAGAGCTGCCCCATCTGTTACCTCCCCCACTACCTTCTTCTGCCTCAAATGTCCCTTCCCCCAACCTATGACCTTGGGTTGAGAGAAAAGAGCGGGAAGACTTGCAGTTGAGCAGAAGACCCTTCCCTAGCTGCCCTAGGTGCTATAGTTTCTGGAGTCACCTTCCATCCAGCAGAGGAGCTGGGGGGTGTCCTGCAGCTCAGCGGGTGGGCTAGGAAGGGGTGGGGAAATGTCCTCATGCCGGGATGTCAGCAGAGTAGGCCCAGGGCTGCTAGTTTTGCTGTCCCTACCCCCGCACCCAAAAAGTCCAAGTGCAAAAAAAAAAAAAAAGTCAAGCACAATTCTTATGTAACCCCCCCAGGGATTTGGTGCCTCAAATGCAAAGATTTGGCTGCCCTGGTTGCCTGCCCCTGCAGCAGGGTTCTGCTCTGTGCAGGGTTTTCCTTCCATTAGGTTGTCAAAAATTGTTCTTGCCTTCAGTGCTCCTTTATCCTACACCTGCCACATCACAGCCTGGTGGTCAGGGACCCAGGTATGGAGGTGGCCAGTTTACATGGCTGTAGCCAACCTGCCCTTCGTGGCAGCATAATACGGCCGTCCCAGGATCGCGTTCTCGGGGTGATACATGACACACGGGCACTGACTCAATGAGCTGTACCTCCTTGCAGGCAACAAAAAAACAGCAGGTGGCAGCAGCTACAGAAACTGGGTTTAAAACCCTGGGGAACCCACATGGCTGTGAAACAAAGTGAGTGCCTAGCCCCCTGGATGACCCTGAAAGGGAAATGCCTCAGGGCATCAATTCCTGCGTCCATTGGTGTGAACCCTGCAACAGAACAGCCCTGGGGCAAGGGACAAAGGCCACATCAGAGTTCAAGCTGGAAACACAGCAGGCAAGTGATCATGCGGTGTGAGGGCAGTTCTGGGTCTGTCTGGCTGTTCAAGGTCTGAGTGGAGCACAGATCCCTCTGCCCTCTAGGGGACTAGGATCCTGCAAGCCTGGATCTGGTCCTAGGAGTGCAACTGTTCACTGGGCAGGAGGCCTCCCTGACCTGCCCGTGGTAATTGTGAGCACTGACAGGGACTCGGAGTCCAGCAGCGTGTGTGTTCAGACTGTTCCTCCCCCAGTGAAGCTCCTTGCATGAGGTTGGTGAGCTCTGCCTCCATAGCCCCATTCTGCCCCTGGCTGAATACCATCCCCAGGGCACCCCAGCCTCACATGGTTTAAAGGTAAGTACAGCCATGTGCTGCTGGAACGCAAACACTCCCTTACAGCAACCAGCTCCCAGGCCTCTGGCTGAGATGGGTCCAGACAGATGAGATGTCCGGGGGGGGCACTTGGTAAAAGAAAGGGGTGCGCAGAACATTCAAGACAAACAAAACTCACCTCCATGCAGTGTACCCAAAGGCGCTGACCTCAACTTGCAGCCTTACACTGGGGTCTCGGTTGTTCTCTTTTCCACTGTCCTGGGAGGAGATGGGGCCAGGCAAGTCTGGGAAGAGTCCCATGGCTCACAGCCCTTCAGCTCACAGCCGGGGCTCTGCATGGTCTAGGGTCGCAACGCTAGTGATTGTAGTGCATCTCGCGATAGTGGTTTTTCTAAATTCCACAGCTTCTGCCGCCCAGTGACCGCACGACCAGCTCAGCGTGTGTTACAAAGTGGTACATTTCCAGTCCTCGCTGGTGCAGAGAAAAACTGGAACACGTGTCTCAGCTGTAGCCTAAAGGCTCACCACCCAGAAGGCAAAGAGCCCAATGGTTATTTACCTTTTAAAACCTCCTGCTTGTTAAGCCAAGCTCCTGTGTTTGGGGCCTGACTCAGGACTGCTGGACGCCTGGTGCTGGTGGCAGTAAGTTTTACAGGTGGAAACGAGGGGCTGGCAGGAACACTTGCTAACAAGCACCCATTGGGCTGGCCTGGCCCTTTGCCACGTGGACGGGGGAGTTCTGTTAGCTTGCCCAGTGGGAAGTGGCCTGTGTCTGCGGAGGAAGCAGACTTGGGCAGCAAAACACCCAGTTTTAAGCAGCAGGAAAATATTCTTTGTTCTCATAAAACTAAGCACAAATATTTGCGGAGATGCCACTGCACAGAACCTCTGGCCCCTGGCAAAGTGCCCTGCAGACAGAGTGGCTCTGCACAACGCTGGCCCATCTGCTTGGCCCCATCCTCCCCGTTTGCTGCAGGAAGCAGCTTATATGTTCACCCGCTGGCTGGCTGTGGTACTTACCCTGGTGGTAGCTGGGCATTTCTCCCACACACTGATAGAGGTAGCTTCACCATGCTGCAGCTGATCAGCCCTGCACAGGTAGGGCACCCCAGGGCCTGTGCTTCCCTGTGCATCAATGCGGGAGATGCAGATGGACAGACTGGCTTCATATCTGGGTCCTTTTGCCTTCTCTCTTAATGTCCTGCATAGTGGTGGGAGAAATGGGCCTAGTCCTGTTTCTTGATCCACAGACAGGTTTGTGCCATGCTCTTGATCTTTGCCACTGGGGGGGCAGTGCAGCTGAACACGCCAATCTCCCGCACCTTGGGAAGAGGGGAAAGGCAGATGCGATTTGTCCTTGCTCGTCTCTCCCTCTCCTCTCTTCTGCAAGATTTTGGAGGATTGGGGAATCCAAAGGGAAGAGAAATCAAGCCTCTGATCTCTCGGTGTCCCTGCAATGTGAATTGTTTCCTGCTGTTTCCTAAGGCCCAGAGGGTTTTGGTAGCTCTGTTTGCTAGAGGGGAGCGGCTGCGGTCACTGGGTCAGAGCAGAGAGTGAACCAACTCTGGCATCTTCCACAAAGGAAGATGGAGATGGAGAAGCTCCTGTGGTGAGATGATGGCCAGGGAGCAGTTGACATGCCAGAGAGGACAGACCAGCTTCAGGAGCATCTCCAAGCTGGCGTGTCTGTCCTGCTCTTACGGCAAGTCAAGGGATGTGAAATGAGCCCTGGCCGCTGAGGAGGAGGCTCTCCTCTAGCACCTGTGTGTGTGTACTCACACGTGGGAAGAGTGCTGGCCTGCCCAGTGTTGCATCATGGTCCTACCTCCCATAAGCCCTAAGGCCTGGTCTACAGTACGCGGTTATTTTGGAATTAGCTGAGCTATCTTGAAATAGCACTGGTTCCATCCACACGACGAAACCAGTTTTTTCGATTTAAAGGGCTCTTTACTCCGATTTCTGTACTCCACCTCGGCAAGTGGAGTAGCGCTAAAATCGAGATCGCAGTTCCGGGTTACAGGTACTGTGGACACAATTCGACAATATTGGCCTCCGGGAGCTATCCCAGAATGCTCCCTTGTGACCACTCTGGACAACACTCTGAACTCTGATGCACTAGCCAGGTAGGCAGTAAAAGCCCTGGGAACTTTTGAATTTCCTGTTTGGTAACCATCAGCACAGTTCACCATCCCAGGCGACCATGCAGAGTCCAACATCTCAAGAGACCACACAGTCCCGGATTTGCAGACGAGCTCCAGCATGGTCCGAACGGGAGGTACTGGATCTCATTGCACGCTGGGGAGATGAATCTGTTATGGCAGAACTACGTTCCAAAAAAAAGAATGCAAAAACATATGCTAAAGTTTCCAGGGCCATGACAGAAAGAGGCTACTCCAGGGACACAGAACAGTGTTGTACAAAAATCAAGGAGCTCAGGCAAGCATACCAAAAAGCCAGGGAGGCAAATGGGCACTCTGGGTCACAACCGCATACATGCCGCTTCTACCGTGAGCTGCATGCAATTATGGGGGGTGATGACACCACTACCCCACCACTGTCCGTGGATACCTGCAAGGGGGGAGTAGCATGGAGCAAGGAGGATGAGTTTTTGGAGGATGAAGAGGAAGAGGAGGAGGACAGTGCACAGGCGACAAGTGGGGATCTGCTTTCCCCCCAGCCAGGAACTATTCTTAACGCTGGAGCCAATAGCTTCCCCCTACTCCCAAAGTGTGCTCCCGGGCCATGACCCTGGAGAAGGCACTTCTGGTGAGTGAGAGCTTGATCGGAGCCACGCGGTGGGGGTCGGGGGAAACCCAGCCGTGCTGGGCTGTTTGCATTTAGTTTAAAGGGCTCATCCCTGCTCAGAGCCTCATTGGAGCCCCGCGGTGTGTGTGTGTGTGGCGGGGGGGGAGGGTGTTGTGTGAATCGATCATCCCAGAGAGCCCTCAGGCTGCCTGCAAGCTGAATTCTGTTGCCTGGCTGCTGCCTGCAAGCTGAATTCTGTTGTCTGGCTGCATGTGATGGCTTACTCACACCGAAGTGGCAGGCACTTCAGTATAAGAGGCGAAATGAGACCTTGTACAGAAAGAACTTGTGCTGTGTACTATGAATTGCCTGTTTCACTGAGAAACAGTGTCCCCTTTGTTCTCTAAAATGTATCTTTTAAAATACTACCCTCCCCTTTTCTCCTCCTGCAGCAGGCGCACATGTTTCGATGAGGCCCCTATCTACTCCGTCCCAGAGGCTGGTCCAGATTTGAAGGCGGAAAAAATGAACTCGGGATGACATGTTTGCCAAGCTCATGCGGTCCTCCCACACTGATAGGGCCCAGTTGAATGCGTGCAGGAAAACAATTGCTGAGTCGCGTAAAGCATTACATGAATACGAAGAGAGGAGGGATGTGCGCGATGAGAGCAGGCAGGATGCTATGGTCAGGCTCGTGGGGGAGAAAACTGACATGCTCCGCTGTATGGTGGATCTAATGCGGGAAAGGCAGCAAGACCACAGCCTGCCACTGCAGCCCCTGAATAACCTCCCTCCTCCCCAAGTTCCATAGCCTCCTCACCCAGACGCCCAAGAACACAAGGGGGGAGGCTATGGGGACCCACACAGTCAACCCCAGAGGATTGCACAAGCAGCAGAAAGCTGGCATATCCTACATTTTGATTTGGTTTCTGGACTTGTCCTTCCCTCCTCCTCCACCCCCCAACCCAATACCCCCCTTCCCCGTCTAGCTTCTGATTTCTCTCAATGTTTTGCGCAACAAATAATAAAGAATGTTTTTTAAACAATTGTGACTTTATTTCCTTTAATATATAAATAGGGGGTGGGTAACTTTAAGAGAAACAAACACAACTCTCACATCATACCCTGGCCAGTCATGAAACTGGCTTTCAAAGCTTCTCTGATGTGCAGCACGTCCTGCTGCGCTCTTCTAATCACCCTGTTGTCTGGCTGTGCAAAACTGGCCACCAGGTGAGTTGTCTCAACCTCCCACCCCGCCATAAACGTCTCCCTCTTACTCTCACAGATATTGTGGAGCACACAAGAAGCAGCAATTACAATTGGAATATTGGTTGTGCTGAGATCTAACCGAGTCAGTAAACTGCGCCAGCGCGCTTTCAAACGTCCAAATGCACATTCTACCACCATTCTGCACTTGCTCAGCCTGTAGTTGAACTGCTCCTTACTACTGTCCAGGGTGCCTGTGTACGGCTTCATGATCCATGGCATTAAAAGTGTAGGCTGGTCCCCGAGGATAACTATAGGCATTTCAACATCCCCAACAGTAATCTTCTGGTCTGGAAAGTAAGTTCCTTCCTGCAGCTGTTCAAATAGTCCAGAGTTCCTGAAGATGCGAGCGTCATGTACCTTTCTCGGCCATCCCACGTTGATGTCGGTGAAACATGCCTTGTGATCCACCAGTGCTTGCAGCACCATGGAAAAGTACCCTTTTCGGTTTATGTACTGGCCGCCCCAGTGTTCCGGGGCCAAGATAGGGATATGCGGTCCATCTATCGCCCCGCCGCAGTTAGGGAACCCCAGCGCATTAAAGCCATCCACAATGGTCTGCACATTTCCCAAAGTCACTACCGTTGATAGCAGCTCGTCAATGATCACGTTGGCTACTTGCAGCACAGCAGCCCCCACAGTAGATTTCCCCACTCCAAACTGATTTCCGACTGACGGGTAGCTGTCGGGCATTGCAAGCTTCCACAGGGCTATGGCCACTCGCTTCTCAACTGTGAGGGCTGCTCTCATTTTGGTGTCTTTGCACTTCAGGGCAGAGGACAGCAAGTCACAAAGTTCCACGAAAGTGGCCCTACGCATATGAAAGTTTCTCAGCCACTGGGAATCATCCCATACCTGCAACACTATGCGGTCCCACCAGTCTGTGCTTGTTTCCCGGGCCCAGAATTGGCATTCTACAGCATGAACATGGCCCAACAGCACCATGATCTCCCAATCGCCACACGCCATGCTGTCTGTGTCCATGTCCTCATCAGTATAGTAATCGCGCTGTTGTCACTTCCTCACCCGGTTTTGCAGGTGCTGCACATACTGCTGGATAACGCGCAAGGTATTTACAATGGTCAAAACTGCCGCGGAGATCTGATCAGGTTCCATGACTATGACACCTGCACAGGTAATCCTGGAAAAAGGGTGCGAAACGTAGGAGAGCAGAGCGGCAGCGGAAGCTGTGCTGTTTGGTTCACGGTAGCCGAACAACGGCGGAAAATGGTTGTCTTCTGTGGCTTTCACGGAGGTGGGAGCCCAGGACAGAAAACATGGAGAAGCTCGGAAGTGTGGCAATAGCGGGAGAGCAGAGTTGGCGGCGGAAGCTGTGCTGCTCGGTTCATGATGGCCGAGCAGAGCTGAGTTGGAGAGGTGGATTCATAGTTGGAGGAGAGCAGCAGTGCACCATCTGCTGAAAGCAGTATGGCGTCTGCACACCAAAAAGGCGCAAAACAATTGTCCGCCATAGCTTTCTGATGACACACACCCAGAAACACCCGCAAGAATGTTTTTGCCCCATCATGCACTGGGAGCTTAACCCAGAATTCCAATGGGTGGTGGGGACTGCGGGAACTGTGGGATAGCTACCCACAGTGCACCAGACTTTTACTTGTAGACATACATTTGAATTCCAGTTCCCATACAGGAGGGCTGGGGCAGAGTCTGTGCCGAATGACAGCTGGTTTATGAGGCTGACTCAGAGCTTTCTCTCCTGCAGCCAGAGAAAGCGTGAGTACTTTATGTCATCAAGATAATAACAGGGATGCTGCTATCTGCAGCTGCCATTACCCAGCCTTTCTCTACTGTGGGCCCAACCCTGTTCCTAGTAAAGTCAGTCACAAAATTCCCAGTGACTTCAATGGGAACAGGAGCAAGTTCTGTGAGTTTCTCCATTAATCCCCAGCAGAAACAACTGTCCATAACGCAACAAGGCCAAAAACAACAACTGTTTTCTTTTTTGCATTGCGTCGTACTGGCCAATTCAGACTGGAAATAAGGCGTGCATTTTTAATAGCGAAAGCAATTAACTGTTGGAACAATTTACCAAGGATCATGGTGGATTCGCCATCACTGAACATTTTTAATCAAGGCTGGCTGTTTTTCTAAAAGCTCTGCTCTTGGGATTATTTGGGGGCAGGTCTCTGGCCTGTGTTATGCAGGAGATTGGACTAGATGATCGCAGTGGTCCCATCTGGCCTGGGAATCTATGACTCTCTGGCACCTGTGGTCCAGCTGAGTGAATTTTCACAGCATCTGCTTGCTTTAGTGACAGACTCACAGCCCAGAGCTTGGAATGCTTTGAAAATATAGGCAAACTTTCAGTCTGCTCACAGGTTTTCAGGAACCCATTCCATCACGCATTACAAACTCATTGAGAGGTAGAAAACAATGAGCAGGAAAATATGGCCAATCATCAACATGGAAGGAGGCGAATAGCTGGGTTTCCCAACAGCCCATACAAGGACCAGTTTGATTAATATATTTATTAATGGTTTGGGAAAGGGGGTGAAATACAGGAAAATCTGCAGAGGCACCAAAATTATTGAAGTGAGTCAAGTCTAGAAGGGATTGTGAGGAATTTCAGAAGCTGTTAAAGCCCGGCAACGGAGCAGCCCATTGGATGTGATATGGGAGGTCAGACTAGATATTTATGGCCTGAACATCTAACTACAGTAGCATTCGCGCTAATTTGTCTTTGTGATAAATATGACAGACACATAATATTCAAAGATCACTGTATCAGCTCTATAAGCATCACGTGTGTCTGTATGGGCTGGGGACTGTTCTGGTTCCATGGGGGAGTTACAGGGTTTCCTGCAGAAACTATAGTCACCTGGTTTCAGAGTAGCAGCCATGTTAGTCTGTATTTGCAAAAAGAAAAGGAGGACTTGTGGCACCTTAGAGACTAACAAATTTATTTGACCATAAGCTTTCGTGAGCTACAGCTCACTTCATTGGATGCATTCAGTGGAAAATATAGTGGGGAGATTTATATACATAGAGAACATGAAACAATGGGTGTTACCATACACACTGTAACGAGAGTGATCACTTAAGGTGAGCTATTACCAGCAGGAGAGCGGGGGTGGTGGGAGGGAACCTTTTGTAGTGATAATCAAGGTGGGCCATTTCCAGCAGTTGACAAGAATGTCTGAGGAACAGTGTGTATGTGTGGGGGGGAATAAACATGGAGAAATAGTTTTACTTTGTGTAATGACCCATCCACTCCCAGTCTCTATTCCATCCTAAGTTAATTGTATCCAGTTTGCAAATTAATTCCAATTCAGCAGTCTCTCGTTGGAGTCTGTTTTTGAAGTTTTTTTGTTAAAGAATTGCAACTTTTAGGTCTGTAATTGAGTGACCAAAGAGATTGAAGTGTTCTCCAACTGGTTTTTGAATGTTATAATTCTTGACCTCTGATTTGTGTCCATTTATTCTTTTACGTAGAGACTGTCACCTGGAAATTATTAAAGCAAACCCCTAGGCCAGTAAGTAGGCTAGAGAAGCCTCATTCCCTGGGTAAATAGCATAGACTGGTTTGACCTGGTTAAAGAGGCCAGGCAGACAGAGAACTGGAAAAAGTGACCAACCTAGCATAGGGAGCCAAACCAAAAACTGACATAAGAACGGCCATACTGGGTCAGACCAAAGGTCCATCCAGCCCAGTATCCTGTCTACCGACAGTGGCTAATGCAAGATGCCCGAGAAGGAGTGAACCTAACAGGTAATGATCTAGTGATCTCTCTTCTGCCATCCATCTCCACCCTCTGACAGACAGAGGCTAGGGACACCGTTCCTTACCCATCCTGGCTAATAGCCATTAATGGACTTAACCTCCATGAATTTATCCAGTTCTCTTTTAAACCCTGTTATCGACCTAGCCTTCACAACCTCCTCAGGCAAGGAGTTCCACAGGTTGACAGTGCACTGAGTGAAGAACTTCCTTTTATTTGTTTTAAACCTGCTACCCATTAATTTCATTTGGTGGCCCCTGGTTCTTATATTATGGGAACAACTAAATCACTTTTCCTTATTCACTTTCTCCAAACCACTCATGATTTTATATAATGATTGATTCCTAACATCCCATTTGCTTTTTTGACTGCTGCTGCACACTGTGTGGACGTCTTCAGAGAACGATCCACGATGACTCCAAGATCTTTCTCCTGATTAGTTGTAGCTAAACTAGCTCCCGTCATATTGTATGTATAGTTGGGGTTATTTTTTCCAATGTGTGTTACTTTACATTTATCCACATTAAAATTCATTTGCCATTTTCTTGCCCAATCACTTAACTTTGTGAGATCTTTTGAAGTTCTTCACAGTCTGCTTTGGTCTTAACTATCTTGAGCAGTTTAGTATCATTAGATTGGGACCAGAGGGACCAGCCCTGCGAGGCTCCGATGTGCTTTGAACCCTGCCAGGTCTTCTCATAGAAGGTAGGGACACCTGGTAAACTAGACCTGCATAGAAGCTGTTTATTGGTTTTAAGATCCGTTTTCTCTGAAATGGTTTTGTTCTGAATAAATACCACTTTGCTCTGTGAAGGTGGCTGGTCACTGGTTAACCCTGCCATTGCCTCAGAGAGAACAGGGGGGCAGATGCTGAGCTAAACTCAGACTTGCTAAGGGGATTGCAGCGAACTGCAGCCTAAATCTCATGGGACACCACCCTGTGAAGGGTGATGGCTAGAGGCCTGAGACCTGAGTGGTCAACCTCAAGGTGG